ACACGTTTTTGATCTGGATCTGATCCCCCTTACCGGATCTGATCCTCCTCGCCGGATCAAGTGTAAACGCAGTGTGAAAGATTGGATTTAATGGTGTTAGGTTGCAGAGTACATCCATGTAGAATTTAAAACCATTTAGAACGAAATTTAACGGGGTTGCAAGACCACTGTCGAAAAAAGACAGCGCAACTGACTAAAGATAACAAAGACCAACTGTCCCACAGGGAGTTTCGTATTCATATAAAGAAAAGAAGATTTTGATTCATGAAATGCGATGACTTTAATTGTTATATAATCGAAATATATGAACTTATAAAAAAATAGTAACTCATGATAATGATATTCTAAGAAATTTAAAGTCAATATATCAATTATTTGTGACAATATTGTTTCAGACAGGTGGCTGATATTTTGACGCCTATCTGTTATGACACTCCATTCAGAAGAAGCGTGGTGAGGAGAGTGTAATACACGATTGGACGAACTAATGCAGTGAGGTTCATTTTCAACCTATAGTTCTCTCCGCAAGTGTGCTAGGAATAGGTGTAACTAGGGTTAAATATCCGGAGGCATCATGCGGTGCACATATTCTTTTCAAGAGGGCACCACGATAAACTAAGCTTCAGCTGCAAAGTGATATAAACTCAATCGAGATTATTCAAAGATTACAAAGGGGGAGGGGCACCTGGGGGCACGGGCATCCGTGCCCCCGTAGTTACGCCACTCTGGCTTGGCATTGTAAACGCACTCTTTGCTGTGTTATGCAGCCGCGAACAGAAGAGCATAGCGAGCCCGCGTCCGTGTAAAATACCGAAATTAATCAGGTTGAGGAAAAGTTATTCAATTCCATCACTATCATGTGCATTCTATAGATTTATTTCAAATTAAGGTTGTTTCCAGTTAACTTAGCACATTGTGCACTCTCGAAGGATTTGGCTCAGTCTGATTTGGTCTTCAAAAGCGCCCCCGTACGAGACCAAGGTTTCTCCGGATCCTCTTATATCGCCTCAAATCAACGTCAAATCAGACAAAAATGGCCCCCTCATCAGGGCAGAGCAGCACAATGCGTTTTCATTAGAAATTTCCAATTGTGACCCTGGGACAGGTTTCCTTTCTTTTTCACCTTAAGCAGCTGCTTCATTTTTTTTCCTTCCCCTCACTGGACCAAAAGCACCCTTCAGACGGTTGCCAGTCTTGGTTCTATGTCTAACCGTATCCCCAACTTCTATTTAAAATTGGCTCACAGCTGGATGTGGAACGGAAGGTTGTGAAGGAAATTTTCCGTGTCCAAGTTGACCCGCAAGTGAGTGCGCGATGCTCGCCTCCAGAATATTTGTACACTCAGTCTCTAGTGTTGTATATTTTTATGAATATACCCGTTTCTACCCATGAAATTTACTAAATATTATAAACGCCCACACACCCCAGGCACTACAAATGTTTAATATTTTTTCTTCCACTTCTTTCCGATAAACCCGTGTGACATGTAGCGTCACTGTAGAATTATTTGTACACCACAGCAAACTCAGCATTAAACAGTACCTTAGCCGTTAGGGTGCATGGCAAATTATAATCAGTCTTTCTGAAGTATGGCAGACACAGCAGGAGGATGGAGGATGTCGTTTGAAGTGGGTGGATGTGAAATACGGAGTAAGCACAAAAATTACTACGTTTTACCCAAACCGGCATGTACAAGCGGCATGCATGCACACCTGACGATAAGCGCCAGTTACAGACATACCACACGTGCATCAGCCAATGCGTTGCACACTGCAGACGTAGGAATCACAGCGTCGCTGGCTAAGTAACAGAAGGCATATGCTGGTTGGGGGGAGAGAAAAATGATTTGCTAAAGCCCCCCCCCCCCGTTTCTGGAAAAGGAACAAAAATGCAAGTAAATAGCTTTAATTCTCCCGTGCAATACCAATAAGAAATGAGCTGGTGACGTCTGGAATTGGAAACTAGGTCTGGTAATGATATACAAATATTAATTTTATTCTTTTGAAGAAGAACTGTTTGCCTCCCATAAAAAGGTTTACAACAGTGAACCTATAGCGATGTCCCTTACAACCAAACAGGACATAGTATACATCCCATACATGTGCGATTGTGATTACCAATTTCCTGGTATCAATTAAGTATAAATATATATGGATAATCAGTTTTAAATTCTAGTAACCGGATATACTGGTAGAAATGAAGGATTAAGTGCATCATTTGATTCATTATCACGTAATAGGATTTATTTCTTTTACACAACGAACCCAAGGCGTATATATACCTGTCCATCTACCGTCGTGTTGGATCACCTTATCCAAGGGCAGCGTACTAGACGTTTCATTTAGGTGAGGACCTAACTGCGATATGTATGGAACAAGTACTATATAATCATGTTCAGTCAACCTAACCTTCAATTTGCTATCATGCATCGTCACAACAAGCTCTCCTCAGCATCTTCAACCATGCCAATCATCACCATCATTTCATTCATCCTCATGCATCATCAGTGCAGACTCCACCTTCCAGGTGTCACCTACTTATCATCTTTTGTCTACCCACTCAGGGCCATTAGTTTTCAGATAATGTTTTAATGACGTTTCAGCTACAATCACCGGCTGCATTTGCTGCTCTTCCAAAACTTTATCTAAAACAGACAGAGAAAATTTAAAAACGGTTTCATTCACAGAACAGAAATCATCTTCATTATCTGTGTCCTCATTAAAAACCACTTACACCCCCACTATAATAAACATTTTTGTTCTCCGCATTCTCAAATTGTCTGTGTTTCATTCCGTCGTTATCATAAAAAATTGCAAAAATCTCTAATTCTTACTAAGAAAACTCTGATTTTTGCAATATGGTTACATACATTTGCCTGTTTTCGTCTCGGAGACGCCATGCTTCAGCTTATCACGGTACCTCTCTGCATTGTTGTCATCTTGCCGACCGTACTGGGAGTTCCCTTTACGCCAAGGGCACTTACCTTTCTTGGAAATGGATATAACATCCTCTTTGGTAACCCAGATGATGGAGATATCAGAACAGGAAGTGATGACCCCGGTCTGCTGGTAACTCGCAAAATCTTCGATTTCACTTACAGTGAAAACAAGGTAATAATACAATAATTATCTGGGTCACTCGTCACAATTTGAGAAACCCCAATCGATGGAACATGTTTGAAATTATTTTACTGATGAGATCTTTTAACAGGCCGTACTCTGCAGTGGTTGCGGGTAGGTTAAAGGGACTTGGCACATTGGTAGCTTGAGGATTACATGGAAAATCAGCCTAATTTAACACAAAAATTGAAAAGTTATTAAAAAATACGAAATTGTGAAGAAAAAAACACCACCTCGCTTCTCGAAGGGCATTTTAATACACTGTCGGATGGCCACGCGTGGAAACGGCGCAGGTTATGGGGAACTGTAACTAAACAGAGAGGTTAGAGCGCCCCGTTTCGTCGTTGTTTATACATTCCCATAATTGTTCCGCATAAATTATGTTTATTAGTCTAGTGGCCCGACGTCTTCCACGATACACAACACTGGCCTTGTTAGCGCCCCGTGGCTGTTGCTTGATATAAAAGGCCCATGCAGCTTGCGTATGTTTTTTGCGTAGGAAGGTTAGGGACAATTATCCTTTACGGGCGTGGTTAACTACAAGCTCGATCAGGTTACTGGATACTTAGAAACTTAAGTGCTGAGGTACATGTTGGGCTTTACTTACTATTACAAAATACAACCTTCAACCAACTATAATTCTCCACCCCCCTCCAAAAAAATTACATGTAGACTCGAACCTTCGGCTCGTTGGTTCCAAGTATAACGCTCTATAAAAGAGCTACCAAGCAGGTCGGCCCAAAAGGTAATTTTGTTCTGGCTTATACTTATACTTAAAAGTTCGTGTACCCTATTTATGATAATTGCCCCCAACCTTCCTAGATGAAAACCGCATGCGCGCAGCGATTAAGATACGTCCATTTTATTGTAATTACCCCTAACCTTACGCGGGCAGCTTGGCCTTGCTGGAGGGGGTTAGCGTGGCAGTTCTTTATTTCCTTGCTTTGCACCAGTGAGACCTGGGTTCGAGTCCCAGCTTGGTCCAGGGTTTTAAGTGCATTTGGTTTCCAGTCCATACTCGCTCTCGCAGGTTTTCTCCGGGTACTCCGGTTTCCTCCTGCCTCTAAAACTGGACCTTTTTCCTAATAACTCCGTATACCCAGCACGATATGTGATGAAGGGGAACCCCCCAAATTAGCCCCACAAATTGAATAGGGCTGTATAGTGGCTCTCTTTTATAATCTGTCGCCACCACAGCCCTACTTTAAGGCATGTCCTAAGCGCCTGAAATCCAAACTGCAGGATTGTCACAAACTTTGAAACCTAGTATCTTCAGAAATGAGAATGACTCGACAATTTTACCTACATCCCAGTCACCGGCGTATTCCTCAGAGTTTGGAATTTTATATGAGCAACCTAAAGCTTTCCCAAACCGTATATTTTCCGATGCATCCTTGAAAACCGGGCCTGTGATATTTCTATGCTTACCAAGGGCAGCGCCATTTTGAAAAATAAAAGCAGCGCTTCTTGCGCCGGAAGTCAAGGCATCCGACAGGTTCCGTAGATGCATAATTCATGTTGTCACCATATTACTTAGTAATAAGATGTGCGATCACTTTGCTAGTGTACAGTACGCACACAGCACGTGTGTGGAGCGTGATACATACATGCATATTAATGTTATTCAAATTTGTTTTCACCTTTTCCTTGTTCGTCTGTCAGGCAAGGTGTGACGGAGAACCAGTTTTGTATGGTACAACGTATACCAGAGCGCCTGTCGGGTGCCTTGAAATCCGACGCAAGAAGCGCTGCTTTCGTTTTTTTTAATGGCGCCGCCCATGGTCAGCATAGAAATATCACAGGCCCGGTTTTCAATGCGTCATGCATCGAAAAATATACAGTTTGGGAAAGCTTTAGGGTGCTCATATAAAATTTCAAACTCTGCGGAATACGCCGGTGAAGTAGGTAAAATTGTCGAGTTATTCTCATTTCGGAAGATATTAGGGTTCAAAGTTTGTGACAATCCTGCAGTTTGGATTTCAGGTGTTTAAGACATGACTTGAAGTAGGGCTGTGGTGGCGACAGATAAGAGACAGATTCTAAAAGAGAGCCACCACAGCTCTATTTGTAGGCTACACCCTGTTGTTGTTGTTTTGTTTTAATGGCACTTTCAGCAACTCAGGCTTTTTGCGCCAATAACTGTACGTTTATTCATACACTTTATTAATCAGCATCACATTACGGAGTTTAGGAAGAAGGTCCAGTTTTAGAGGCACGAGGAAACCGGAGTACCCGGAGAAAACCTGCGAGAGCGAGTATGGACTGGAAACCAAATGCACTTAAAGCCTGGGCCAAGCCGGGACTCGAACCCAGGCCACATTGGTGCAAAGTGAGGAAAGAACCGCTACGCTAACCCGCCCCCCAGGCTACCCCCCTAATGTGGCGCGCAAGCTGTATACCCAAAGGCTATTGTACCGACTTCATTATACCCAGCAAGAAATGAGACCGAGGGGTGCCCCCCCCAACATGTCCAATCCCTGTACACATTCCAGACTATTGTTACTTGACACATCCCCCCCCAAGATGTCTGAAAGGAATTCCCCAGATTCCTGTGAGACAATGACCAACACAAAGCAGGGGGGATTCTCTCCGTCTTATACCTCGCTGCATATGGACTTCATCCCCTGAAGATCTGAAAGGAATTCCAAAGTTTCCATCAACACAAAAGAAGACAAGGGGGTCCTCCTTTGCCACATATTGTGCATCAAATGGAACTCCGCAAAGTGATGCTGATTAGTAAAATGTATGAATAAACCTACACGTATTGACGCAAATACCCTGAGTTGCTGAAAGTGCCATTAAAACAAAACAACAGCTGGGCCTTTTCTGTTGCCTGACTATAAAGAATGACGCACGAGCAGCTCGACGTCTCTGTAGAAGATATGTTCCTCCTCTAGGGTGAAGCAAGACCTAGTCAGCTTCGATAGAGCATCCCCAGTACTATACACTATCAGCTCTTTGATAATGGTTAAGTTGATTGCGAGTAGGCCTATGTCGAGTGATTGCTTATTGAGCAGTTGTAAACGCCGAATCACCTACATAAATTCACCTGAATAGGGGATCACTTTGACTAATAAGTAAACGAGACTAATAAGAAAATTCCGCCACGTGTCCATCGACAAAGCCCCATCGACAATCTGCCTAGTACATGTAGTGATCCTGTAGTGTGTGCCAGCTAGCTTTGGCGCCTGGCGGTAGACTACCTCCAAACGGACCTCCCGCGGTCGCCTCTTCAGGCGCTCATTGGGTCGGCCGAGGGCAAGCCCGAGGCTCCGTCGACAGAAACCGCCTCACTACGTTCAAACAAGGTGCTAAATAGTTGTTCTGAAAATATCAAGCCACTGTTATCCAGCCAGGGAAGAGTAAGTTATGCCACTAACAGTTGGCGCAACTTGGACTCCCCAAAATCGGTGGTTTAGCGTAAGTTGCGTCAAAGATAACGATATTACCCCCCTCCCCTACACACACAGAACGATGAGCCGCGACACAACGTGTGGCCAAAACCATGGAGCGATGCCAAAACTGACCTTTACCTCAGGACGCACTTTATTCAATTTGATCCGAAGCGTTAGCACCTTGCAGGGCCTTCGCGTATGCAAGTGGCTGGAGACGCGTGCACATCACACTGAAAGAACTAAAAAAAAATCCTGGAATCCGCCCATGAGCTGTTTAAATATGTCCAGTTGTTCTGTGAATTAAGATACTAAAATACACAAACTGGGAACTTGGGAGTGTCCATTACCAACTTTCGCCTCTATATACATTAAAATGTTGAGACGCTACGAGTGTATCAACACACGTCTACATGGTTGATGACTTTCAATAAATGTGAGTGCAATTCCCATGCAGACAACATTATGGTCTTCGTAAGGGCCGACTCCTTGTCCTCTTCATTGTGGCTCCTTGCTGGCTCTTCTTCAAAGAGTTACATCGAAAATATTTCTACTTGTTTCCTATATAAAATGTGAAAAACACAAATAAATCATTTTGACAACAAAGAGCATGGTATGTTTTTCGACGTTAAAGGTTTCCTTTGATGGAACACACCTGATACCTGACCAGGTGATCTTCTCACCAAGAGAATCTTGCATACCATCGGTTGCTACGTCCGTCTTTGAGGGGACTGAAAGTTATCAGAATAAGCTGAAGCAATACGTCAAGCTGTTGGGTAAATATTTCTCGCTTATAAGGACACTTAATCATTGATAAATATGTCTCATGTTACGTATAGGGTATGGTCCAAACAAAAATGTTGAAAGGATTGGTAGATTTTAAGATGTCTCCGTCGTGATAAAAGGCGTGTTTATATTTCAGCCTGTCCTTGTAACTAAACCTGATGACTTTTGAAGGCCTTCCACGCACCTTATACCTCAAGCAGTCCGAGGTTTTCGGGGTTCGTAATTAGCTTTCACTTGTGTTTGTTTTATAGAAACCTCTGCAGGTTCTGTTTTGCCATTTTATGCATTTTCAATTTGTTAATCTCAGACAGTCAGACTTTCCGGATATTCCTGAACACCTTTTCAGTTTTCGTTTCGGTTGAAAGCCTTGACGCACATTTGAAAAATTGTGAAGAAAGCTATTCTGAAAGTTATTGTCCAAATAGAAGTACACGGGGAAACATTTTCAAGTATCGGCATATGTTAATTCTCAAAAATTAATCGCACACAAAGGAAATTGAACTGACAAGTCGCCTTCTTCATAGTTTGCTTCAGTTTGTAATAATTAAACATTTTTTCAAAGACTGTAGGTATATTGTTTACTTCTAAAGTACACAAAGAATAGGAAGACTCTGATTATAAAAATAATCGATGGCGCGATTACGTCTGTTCCTTTGGAGATTAACTGCTGGAAGACTTGCAGTAAGGTTAGAGGAACTGGACTAATTAAGATACAGCTGTCATCCATAGTCATGTTTTGAATTTAGCTTGATGTTGCATGCCAATTAACTGCAGAGTTCGATTTTTATCAAAATGACGTTTACTATTATTTCAAATGATCATTTGGGCTTGTATACAAATTATCAAACGTGACGCAAGTTGCAGCCTTCATAAACCGATAAAGAGAGTTGCAGATTATATCGGCTGTCAATTATAGTTATAATCTGGCTGAAAGGAAACTAGTTTCTTTGCAGAAGAGATATACTTCCAAATTGTGTTAAGCAAAGAACGCAGTGTTGCAGCTGTTGTTTATGCCTACATTCCCAGGACTAGGAGAGGCGGTGATATGGTTCTGCATGCATTTTTGTAGTTACACATAATTTTCGAACTCTCTGAGTTACTCTGATACGGTCTAACGGGATTCCCGTGGTCCGAAATTCTGTAGATTTGAGAAAAGACGAAAGTTTCCAAAGGGAAATAACATTGATAATTTAAATGTTGGTTTCTGATGTTCCAAGGGAATGAAGGTGCCTGAAACAATGATAATTGATTGTGATATCTGTTTTTAAGCCAAGGGAGGATCCATAACCATATTTTTGGGAAGGGCATTTTTGTCGATGGGCAAAAATTGTTCGTGATATTTTTTGGAACCTTTTAGACGTTTTGGTGCTTTTTACATACTTATGAAAGGAAGGAAAGGGAATTAACCATTTTTTGCTCTGGGAGGGCATGACTTTCCCCCCACCCATCCCAGGCTCTGACCTTTGGTGCAGCCAACCAGAGTAAGCCAATTTTTATCTAAACCCTAATTTTTTATAAGTTTCTGAGCCGTGTCCTTCCGTGATTCTTTATTGCTTTTTCCAAATGGAAGAACACGAAAATAATATTTAAAGTAAAGTTTTAATTGTATTTTTTTTTGTCTTTTACAGGAAACACGGAAGGTGCATGGTTGGGATATGAATTCTGCAAGAGTGCAAGTATGTCTTTTACTTTCTCATGTCATATCAGACTCCAAGTGTGGCGAGAAGGCAGTGGACGATACTGACTTCTGCCTTAAGTCTGAAAAATGAGAGACTCCAAAGTAGCCTCAAAAATGAGAATATAACAACTGAATTAACCCAAAGCAACATCTATCTGTACGAGGTTCAAGTTATGGAATACACCCGAGGCTTCAAGCAGATATAACATAATCTCCCTTGTACAAACGAAGAATACAAAAAAGAGATTATATAGGTGTCTGTCTTTTAAACTTTTTTTTCATGTTCATTGTTTGGTCCTTATTTATTAGTAGCTTTCATAATTCTAAGCATTCGTTTAGAAATGAGATGTAATTTTTTTATAGCTTATTAAGCAATAGTGTAATGTTTGTGAATAATAGACATGGTCTGTGGCCTTGCCAAAACTCGTTAAGCGATTCCACATCTTTTGGTTTCTGAACAGAGTATGGTGTAACAAGCCAGTCCATAGATGTGGGACATCACGTGTTCTTCGACGAAGTTACAGTTTGCAACCTTGGTCAGGCAAGATATGTCACGGAACTCGCTTTCCCTGACAGGTTCTCACTCTCACGGGGTTTCGTCGCCAGCGCATGCGCTCTGCCGAAGTCCTTTGACCTGGAGGAGTACATGCAATTTGTGGATACATGGGGAACAGTGAGAATAATTTGTAATTCATTTTTATCTTTCCCGAGTCATCATGCTATTTGTTGCAATAGCTATAGTTTAGAAAAGTAAGCAAAATTTTCTGTAAATAAACTCTGATTTAATTTATTCCAAAAATGGCTGTCGGGAAGTGTTGATGTGATAGTAATAATGGCTTATCCCATTTCCATTAAGACGAACAAGAAGGGCCAAGATTTTGCCATCTGAATGCGTCCGTAGGTCCGATTACGTTCTTTGCACGACAGTAATTAGTCAAAACGTGCTCAATAGTTCCATTAAAAAGAACACTGCAAAAACTGTAGTGTTAAATTGCAGCTCCTTTTACTTAGTATAACCATGTTCTGGGTCGCATTTCCCGAGTCGCTGAACAGTAGTTTCAACGGAGAGCAGACATGGTTTAGACATGTAACGGAATAAAAAAAGTTGTGCTCAAAGTATTTTTATCATAAACTTTCAATTAACATGATACAGCACGTCGTAACGCAGATGGACATCGGCATCAAAACAATCAAACGGTATCAGACTGATTACAAGACGCTGGCAAATTTTGCCAAAAAAATCGTAAGTAAAAATATCCAGACGATGTTGCCATTTCTTCTATGAACAATGGCCTCAAACATATTAGCCCTGGTGCCTTACCTGCAGATGACTATAGTCTATCTATTAATTGAAAAGACAATGCGATAAATTATCTCAACTTTTACGATGTCATCACCTCATGAAAAATTATCTCAGGTTGTCAACATCTTGCCTGTATCATGTCGTCATTGTATCAGGGTCATCCCGAGAAACAATGTCAGGATGTCCACAAGTCGGGTGGTACTTCCAGAGCACAGTAATGGAAAATATTTTTAATGAAGCCCAATATAAGTTTTCTTTGCTTATTTGATGAGGTACTGCATGCTCAATAAGAAAGTGGCTTGCGTTCAGATACGTTTTCATGTGTTTTCTTCACTTGGGCCATTAAACCAGTATTCACTTAATCTTAATTCGTGTTTCAGGTTTAATGTTACCTAATGAATGGAGTGATTGGCCAAATAGAGGATACACCTTGTGCCACTGCTTTGTAGAAACTACATGTGCTCTTTGGCTTCAGGTTGCGGTAGCACAATGATAATGTAGCTGTCTCGTATTTGCAGACTAGTTTGATTTAAGTAACCTAAAAATATTCCCCTACACGTTTCATACTCAGGGCAAGTACTACTCCTCCGATGGCAAATCCATCTCGCTTGATATGGCTAATTTCCGAGCGCACCTGCTCACAGAGCCAGCCCTCTTCGGCGACCACGTAGAAACCTTGACGCTTGGTGATACTACTTCGCCTGTGCCTGTTTCATTTGATATGATCGGTATAGAGGAAGTCTTCAGTGTCGAACGCTGGCAACTGTTGGAGCAATATGTTTTGGAGCGTCTCTGCTCGGCGGATGAAGACGCGGATTTTTCAGCTAAAAGAGCAAACCTGATAGAAGCTCTGAAAGCTTACCCCTACTGGCACAATGCACGGAAATCGTTCAGTAAGTATTAAGATGACGACTTTGGTCATAGTAGCCGTTATGCACTGGTTGAATGACGGCATATAATCCCAGGAAAAGTTGCACACTAAGGATAAGGCGCTGTTATGTCATGAGCGCTAGAACAAAAAAACTCGGGTCACACCTCCGTCGCACAGAGACACTTTTCTACTTTGCGTTATATGGAATTCAAAATATATATAAACATACATATACATATCTCTATGGCTATACACTGATCTCAGCATGATGGACATTTACTCGTAGGGTTCCTCTTTTCGATGGTACTCACAGGATATAGTGTACATATCATTAAAACGCACTTTTCTTTTCAAAAATCCTTTAAGAAATACGAAAAGACACAAACACTGAACGGGAGTCCTCGGCTATGCTAGCCCCAGCTTCGGTATGTTGAAAGACATCCCTGCTAATTCTGAGCATGTGAGCCTAATGGGACAACCACACAAAGGAATGATAAGGGGATGTCATTTAAATTGGTTTTTTTTTATGATTGAACTGCCTACCAGACCCAGTTGTCCAAAGTGCCATCACCTGGCCAGTTGGTACTTACAGCCTGCCCATGACCAACAGCTTGTCTGGCTGCCCCAACTCGGCTTTCTTCTGGAAGACCGGCCGAAGGTTTCAGGACACCCAGGATCTATTTGCCAGCAACGACTGGTCGGACCCCTGCCACATTCTTGGCCCTTACGCGAGAAACAACGTTCAACAGAACTTTTGTAGTAAGACCGACGCTGTACTGTCTGAGGACGACATGACGGAATGGGATGCCGGCGAATACTGCATATTCAAGAAAGGAACCTGTCCAGTTGGTGAGAAAATAAATCCTCAATAAAAATCAAACCTCTATTCAAGCTACAATATGAAATGAATCTTTCAAGATTTTTCCTACATATTCACGTCCTTGAGATAGTGTGCACACTGAAAGTGCACATCCTTCGCAATCGTGAATATCGAATGTGAATACAGCACGGCGCCATCTTAAGGCCTATGACCAGGGGCCAGTTTCATAGAGCTGCTTAAGCACAAACTTTGTTTAGGCGCAAACAAACCTTGCTTAAAAACACGGGTCACTAACTCAAAATCTATGTGATTCTCGTGCTATCCAAAAGATAGGCGAATACCATTCCAAAACAATATACATCACATGGAGTTTTGGCTGGTAACCTGATTTGTCAAGCAAAGTTTTTTCACATTTAAGCAACTTTTGCAGCTCTATGAAATTGGCCCCAGATACAACATACCTTCTCATAATTAAAGAATTAACGCGAAATGCGGAAGTCACTTCCGGATTAAGTATTTCATAGTCAATGGTTCCATAAAGTTGAGGAGCGATTTCCCAGATAACAGGAAGAAACAGGTCAGTGTAAATTCCTTACTTGCCAGGTTTTTCTGAAGGATGGGTGAAGTGGGACGACCAGGACGCACTGAATGGTAATACTATGAGCGGGGTGTTACCAGACGGCATATACGATCACAACACCCTGATTTACTTCTGCTGTCGGGAGGATGGTGACCCATTGAGTCCAATCCTCCTGCCCACTGAAGACCCTTTCTTCCTGTTCCGTAAGAATGATGTGTGCCAGGCTGTGGAGGGTATGACGCTCATCGAAGAGTGGTTTAAGTGGGACGGGGAGGATGATTTCATCGACTTTACCAAATACTACGGAGGTTCTCATCCATATATTGATAGTTGGGATGATGACCACAAGCTGTACTACTGCTATTATTACTAGGTTCCCGAACCTATCTCCTTTGCCTCCTTTTCCTTAGCATTATCTGGCTTCTGCAGAAAGGGGTTAGCCTTATATTTCTAAATAGGTCACTTGGGAGACATTTTGTGGTAAATTTTTCAACATTAGGGAGACATCTGTCATTACGGAGACATTTCAATGTCTCCCTAATGCTCCAACTACCAAAAGGAGGAAAACGTTTATCGTCCACATTTTGAGAGATGATAGATTAGGGTCTGAAAGGAAAACATGCAAAGTTTTGTTAAGATCGGATTAGGGAATATTGAATTATGGGACGGTAAAGTTTGAAAATTTTTGCACGTTCCCATGGGAATGTCTCCCAAGTGACCCATTTTCGGTAAATTATTATAAAGGATATTATAATAGAAAGGAAGGCGGAGACAACAGAATCGTGATTATGGTCATTTGGTCAGAGATCTATTGTAAGAACTTTGATTGAAGAGCTTGTCATTTTTTGTTGAGCCTCTGGGAGGAGCCGGTTTTTGTTCATAGTTGCATGATGGTTTTGAGAACATGCATGGCCATGACGTTGGCTATAAATTCCCGCTAGTTCAAAGTATTAACGTGTTATACTAGAACAAAACAGGAAATAATTATATCACGTTTGGCTTTGATCACTATTATGAGTATGTTATCTCTGGGTTCAGAATTTAGGAGGTGTAGAAATAGTGTCAACTGAATAAAACGACTAATTTGCAGCATCATATATTTTGTTTGCATGGGCCTCTTCAAAAACAAACAAATCAAATACGATAATGTGATCTAAGCATGTCACTTTTGTCAATGTCAAATAACTAGGGCACGACCCCTAAAAAAGTCTCATTCAACTTTTTATGGTTGCTTCAGTCGCCCCAAATAAATTGTTAGATCAATTCTTTAACTGTGAAATTTGTCATGAGCTAAACCTTTTTAATGTTGTTTCACTGTGTTTCCAAAGTGAAATTTTATTGCTCATTTAAGGGCCCTTCGGAATTTGTGTGTTTCCCATTCAGAAAAAAATTACATGAATTTGTCATTGCGCGCCACTTCTTTGACAAGCTGATTGGCTGGAGTAGGAAATGCGGATCAGGAAAGTTAACGGGAAGCTCAACAGTGTCATTTTTGGCTCTGCGAATAACCCTTCAAGCTACTTTCGGAGAACCACCCGCTTTGGGGTAAGCTTACTGTCTCCCTGGAGACTGTGGATATGTTTATAGTCTTACTGTCTAGTTCAGACAATTGTTAGAATTTTAAGTGACACCTTGTGTGGGAAATCAACAGTTGATTTGAGCGAAATCCACAGTTTATTTGAGCATACAGAGGTGTGCGTACCATGTACACACCGCAGGGCTGTTTCTGTGTACACGTACGGTTCAGTGCAGGTATTCCTCTCTCGTTATGTTACAAGTTCGACCTCTGACACAATATCGATCTTGCATACACCGCGTTGACGCCCTATCTGCGTTGTGTTTGGAGAACATAGTGAATAGTAATGTCTATTGTTGTAATTGTTAGGTGGATTACTTGTGTACTGTGTACAGAAGTTGGTGCTGGGAATCCACCAAACATTGAAGTGTTCGTGTCCTTACTAGAAGTCCCCCTGCAGAGGTATAACCTTAACCTCCCTCCTGGGATCCGCCCAGTAGGAACATCGGTATGACAACATCTGTCAACCAACCCCCGTCACTACAGGGAGAAAAATGGCGAAGTTGGCAGGATACGAAGAAATCTTAGTTTTATTTCTTTTTCTGAGGTCTTTTTAACCAACCCCATCACTACACTAAGAAAGAACGCAAAGTTCTGTGCTGGATAAAATAAACTGCTAAAATTAAACTATGCATTGATCGAATCAAAGGCGCCGATATATTATCATTATTCCTGCACAATGAGCTCATAACATCTGAACATTCCTGAAACCATCTCAGCTTCCTGGGAAGTAGGCCTATACGTGTCCGATGCTAACCGTATCAGGCGCAAACGGCTGAACGTAAGACCCATATCTGCCCTTACAGGTACCCAAGTGGGTAGAGAGGTGGCGTGTATTGGAGTAAAATGATTTGCCCAAGATTACAACATGCTGCCGTCAGCCGGATTCAAACCCTCAACCCTATCATCAAAGCTACAAACCCTTACCACTAGGCCATATGCCCCAAAGCATATAATATGATAATAATGAAAAATAATATCGTCACTTAGTAGAAAAATCCTTCATTTTGATCATCGGGTTCTTTTATTGTTAAGAATTAATTTGCACTGCAGATGTGAATGTGGCCATCACTATTAATTTCAAAGCTACCCTGACTAACTAAAAGTAGACTTCTTGAATGTAAGGCGGTGGAGGGTGGTTAATGACAACAGGATGGACGCTTTATTGGGATGCTGATAGAAGCCGAATTGGAACTGCAACATGGATTTTATAGTCATTATAAATACTTTAACAATTAAAGCATTAAAAAATGTGTTATAAAATGTATTTTAGATGGACTGTTAACTACGAATGTCTGGATGGTGAAAACGAAACAATCCAAATTTACTTCTTCAGTGTTTAACACCGTGCTCAATAAGTCCTCAGGAGCAAAGCGGACTCGTCGAAGACAAACTGCAGCAAACGCAAGAACTACTAACATAATGTGTACTTTTGCGTCCTTGGACTTAAACGACGTGAACAATGATAATAATTATTGAAGCGTTTGGGTAGATTCTGTCATTGGAAAACGGCAAAATAATCACTTTGTGAATTACCCTAATTATGTCCATTAAGTCGTGTCAGTCAAACTGATAAAGATAACCAGCCGTTTCAAATGAACATTTACCTCTGAGGCAATGCAAATGAGATTCCTCTTGAGACAAAACACGCGGCATAGTTGCTGTTCAGTTAAAGGCACAGACTCGTATACGGGGACTTCATTTAACTGTACCGTGGTTTGCGAGAACAGGGCTTTCAAACAAGGTAAGTTCAATATCCAATTATCTACATGAAGATGGTGTCAGTATTTAGTGACATGCTATGCATCACTAACTGAGTTCTGAATAATTGTTTGGTACTTAATACGGGCTAAAGTTAAGATTCTAAGAAATAAAATTCAGATGACGTCTTTCAACAGGTCATTTTGAAAACAATTGCCTACATTCTCCACAACAAAAGGTTTATTCCCTTTTAGTCACAATTTATCCGATAGTTGTGCACATCTTAACTTGGGGCTTGGTTATACAGTCCTCTTTTGCAACGTACTTTCAACTGTCTGCAGGGTTTTTTACCACTCTTTTGAGTTTTGAGTCCTTCGTGGTTCCATCAGCAAAGAATCTATTAATAGTCACGAAATAACGTTGTTGGAATACACATATTTGCGAATAGAAAATGTGTTAGGAAAGGATGCGTACTTGAAACATGTGACAAGAACAGTGCGTTCTGTGTACTACTTTCTTCTTCCCCTCAGCACGACACGATGGACAACATTATGAGACCACTCTTTCTCGTTGCCTACTTCAGTTCAGCTGTATGGGCCGCTAAGCTACCTAGCATCTGGCCAAGGGGAACCTACGCCCTGCCCATGCCTATCGGTGGCTGCCCCAACACCTACTACAACTGGGACACCGGCCGGAGGTACCAGGACACCCAAGACACATTCCCCAATAACCAGTGGTCTAAGTCGCTTCACTTGTATGGCTCGAAATCTTTGACACACGTGGAGCAGCACTTCTGTGTGAAGAAAGACTACGATATGGGTAGTCGGAGCAACCCAGATTGGGAGCCAGGACAGTATTGCATCTTTAAGAAGGGAAAATTGTGTCCAGACCGTGAGTTTTTGGCATTACAAAGAGACATAAGCTATTTTATTTGCCTTTAATGTTAACTTATAAACCTTTCCCCAACATATCTGCGGAAATCATGTGCATAGTTCAGTTTTAAAGTATCGGTTTCCGCACACCCGGTGTCGTTATACCAGGTGGACAAATAACTTATCTAAGGCCTAACTATCCCAGAACTGTGGGGTTTGTCGTCCGCCGGTGGCTGACTACGAACTCCACAGTTTCTGGGGGTTAGGCCTAACTAAAAGAGGTTTTTTCCCTTTTCTAATGTCTTAGGAGGCAGCACATGGGGGTGCATAGGCCTCGGGTGGGAGCCCATACCCACTCCCGCCCCATATGTTACGACACTGTGTAGAAATATCGCACACTGACCTTACTCCAACGTTCTGATGGTCCCAGAAAATATATATATATATGTTGGCAATCAAAGTTAATGTAACTAGGCGTACAGCGATGTACATTCGAGATATTCTGTATTTTTTACATTCAAGTACCTTGATTGAAATTGCCACGTCCGCTTTTGACTGCTAACGACCTAACCTAAACCACATTTTCACTTTACTACTGTGACATTCACACCTAGACCTAATTTACCTAAAGAACGAAAGAACATGTCACCTTCTTTACGCGGAGGCATTTACCTATGTAACGTCCAGTGCCTCCTAAAGCCAGCATTCCTAACAATTAATGTACCCCAATATATTTGTGAAAGTATCTAAGTATATTGAGGTTTTTAAGTCATTAGGCCTACTACTGGCCAATCTAGTCGATTCTGATGCCCCGATGCAAGTTGAAGTCAAAAACTTGACTGTTCATTCGTCAGGTTTCAGTGAAGGATGGATCAAGTGGGACGACCAGAACATATTTAACCGTAACGACCACAGCGGTGAGTTGCCGGAAGGTGTCTACGACGATGACACTAAGATCTACTTCTGCTGCAGGGAAGACGGTGATGCGGGCACTCCACTGACCTTGCCGGTAGACAAACCATTCTTCCTGTTTCGGAAGAACGGTGATTGCCAGGCTGTGGACCGCATGACCATGCTGGTAGAGTGGTTCCGCTGGGATGGTGAGGACGATTTGATTGACTTGGACAAATATCGCGATGGTAGTGTGCCAGATCTGGAAAACAAAAGCGGTGACAACCACAAGCTGATGTACTGCTATTACTATTAGACAGAAGAAAAACACACGATTAATTTTAAGAAATCTCGGCATCTTAATTCTTGCAAGAATATTTTGAATGAAATCAATATTAAATTTATCGACTCTAATCCTTCGCTCTGTAAGATAACTCATAATTAAGGCAAATTAACTCACGTCAGCCTTTAAATTTGTGATCAATTTACACCACAACCTCAGATGATTTCACTCCACAGCCCTATCAATTTTATTATAGTGTCCAAACAAGCAATTGCAATCTGTCACCGTGGTCCCTAGTCCACTTCCTGTAGTGCCAGATTGAAGATATTTTATTTCAAATCAGAAATAATTAATCAGTCTCACATTTGTGAAGAAGACCTGAAGAAATAGTTTTCTTTGACTTCCAGATGACTTTGTGACCACCACACTGCCAGGGAACCACGTAGCAAACTATCAGCTAATGAATCTAAACACAGCATTATGAGTGACCTGTGGTTGCTTAGTTGAATGTTGTAATGATTGAATAAAATTTTATGATCATCGAAAGCTGATTTCGAATGTTTATCGACGATTCCTGTGTCTATTAAATGCTTATGTATTCAGTTTCAACCACCCTATGGAACTAACACTTAATTGGAGACTTTGAAATGCTTCGGCTGAGTTCGGGCGGCTTGTTCTCGTATGTTCACGAGCAGTTCAATGTGTTGTTCGCCGGGAACGTACAACCGATCGTCATTGGTATATAAGTGGCAAGCAACATACAACACAACACGGTGGCGTCCATGTACGTTCTTCGGTGGTTAATGTTTGGATAACCTGGCTGAATTCTTTTCTGTTTAAAAGGAACATTCATCTCTGCATAAATTATGGAAAATTAAAATTTTGCAAAACTTCCCACTGTCTCTGGCTTTGTGCCACCTTGCTATTTGTTGCGGCTGTTCAAAAATCAAAATCTCACAAATTTTTCTGTGTTTTCCTGTAAAACCAAGACCAGGCCAGGAGGTGGTGCGTGATCCTGTTCTGAGAACCGTGTTCTTGGGTTGTGCTCCCACCGTTCGAGCTCGAGAAAAAAAACCGTGTAAAGAACAGGGCTTGGTGGCGACAAACATGCTCTTCCTTTTTACCAATTTCTGAGCGTGCGCCCGTTGTTCTTGGCATGCATCTGTATTTCTGAGCACGAGCAATACCTTAAAAACACAAAGATCATACTAAAGCTATGTTGGAAAAGGAACGGTGTCTCTCCTGCCACAAGCGTCTCAAAGTCTCTCACTGTCTTCAACTATGAGTCCTGAGCTGGACCAAGAGAGGGCCCAGTTTTCCAAACGACGCACTTTTTTTTGGTAGAAACTTCACTGGGTCTCAAACGGCTGTGAAATGCACGCGTTACAGTCGTATCGCTATCGACAAAACCAACATAGCTCTTTTCAAACAATGAGGGGGTGCTTCTGCTCAAGGCAGATATAGCAATGCAACATCGGTTTGAGGAGTAATGCTCGTATAATGATGATACTTCCCAAAGTATAGTCAGCTCGGCTGGTCGGTTATTTTGGTCAGGCCCATGTCACGGTTTACCACCTTTAGTGGTGACTCCCAGGTTCTTTCAGTCAAAATAGCTGACGAAATAATGAAATCAAGAATCTTAAATTCCTCCTTTTATATTAATACTATATTTACAACTTCCGATATTACTCTGTATTTACAAGTATTTACAAAATGAAATTAGATATCACTATCGTCAACAATGTTATTACCTCTTACCCAGATAGCTCTGAGTAAAATTTGCTAGGGTAATACAAGTTCTTGAAGCTTTATGGCTTGGAAAGTGGCACAGTTTCTTTTCCTTTAAACAAAGACTGACTTGAAAGTAATAATTAACTGAATAATAACCGAAAATGGCTCACTTGGGAGACATTCCCATAAGCACAAACTTTACTGTCCCATCATTAAATATTCCCTGATCTGATCTGAACCAAACTTTGTATATTCTCAATTTAGACCCTCATCTATCATCTCTCAAAATTTGGACGGTAAAATTCGGCTTCCTTCTGGTAGATGGGGCAGTAGGGAGACATTGAAATGTCTCCCTAATGACCGATTTCTCCCTAAGGTCGAAGAATTGACCAATTGACGAAAAAATGTTTCCCTAATGACCCATTTGTAAGAATAAAGTAAACCCTTGTCATCTTCAGTGCTTTACAAGAAGATGGTACGTTACTTTGTACGCTCAAAAGTTCAACTCGGGTGGTCTACCTTCTCGCTTCCAGCGGGTAGTGGGTACCGTAGCTTTTTGGATTATGTCTGCCTCAATAACTTTCAAACCTCAGTATGATTGGTGTGAGAACGGCTATGGGTATGTTCATGGGTATGTTCAACAAAAGTCTGTATAATTCTTTGATGAGGTGTGATATCCCGCCTGAGTGTTGTAAAATGTGAAGAAACCGGTCGCTGATTTAGGACCGATATGGGCTCTGATTTAGCTAAATCTTAGCCCGATCGCACCGTGACTGATTTCTCACGTTCTGGTTGCGACCACCACCTGCTGTTCCCGGGGATCTCAGACAACGTTGATACCAGTATCTCAGCACCTACCACACACACCCACACTCACCTTAAATGCCTACTGAGGACATTCCTTTCTTTCGTGCAGTTAAGAAAACTCAGTAAAAATACTCATATTTCTTGAACTAGGAACACGATTTTCAGCTATTTTTTGTAGGTTTCTTCGACTATTCCTATGCCTTTTACGACGGATGACCCCTACCCCAAAATGCCTCTAAACCTCTTTTTCAGAGTAGAGGAAACGTCCCGTGGATGTGTGTAAGTGCGCAGAACGTCTTTCTTTCCTGCATCGTGTGGACGTCTTTTGTTCACAAGTCCACACTAGGTATGTAAGGTTAGCGCACAATTCCGCTTTCGAATGTGAATGTTCCTCAGTGACGTTCAGTATCGCTCTGACTCTTTTTGTTCGCACACTCTCAACCACGGTATCTACCATTTTAATTTACAAATCAGCACAAACAAACAGATGTACTAACGCAGCAAACAATAACAGAAACGTGTTGAACAAAAAACCTTGGCCCTTAAGTTACACAACTACCTTAGCAACCGACAGAGCGTCTCGCGATCACCGTGAAACGCCCGGCAAGGAAAATTACGGATGGTGTGATCGCAGAGCGGGAAAAGTAAAACGTATTTCATTGGTCTCCGACGGCTATCGGGGGGAACCAAACCATTTTTTTCATATGGGAAATCTTTTTCTTATTCTACAAATGATGGGATGTACAAAATTGCTGTATGACAGCCCAATGAGCGAAGAAGTCGCGCTTGCACATAGCGAGTAAAGGCCGGCCGATAACTTAGGCGAAAGCAAGCGAGTTCGTTCAAAACACCTAAAGCGAAATTCGCAGCGAATTTCATCTGACGCCCCAAATCACAATCATTTTTGCTTTCGTGTATGAACTGACCTTTAAATGTAGGGATAGTAATCAAACACTCTGTTCATTATAGTGACTACTTCAGAGTCTCCGTTTGATTGAATAAGCAATACATTATACTAATATTCAATAGCTTTGCGATTTTCGTTAGCTTCTAAAACGAACATCTAGCAGACTGTCTCCAGAGTAAGCATGTCCATTTAGATTGTGTTTTGATGGCATGGGTCCAGATCGCAAACGGTGATCCGTCGTTGGTTCACGGAAACCACAACTCGCCTATGGGTGCAAACCAATGTTAAGGCCGGTTCATGCAGGCAAATGTTAGAGCAAAGCCGATTTGACGTCATGAGAGATTTGCAGCGAAGTTTCGCTCGAGATGAAAGTAGGGCGTAGTGAAGGTGTCTTTGGGGTGTGCCAGAGTCATTTTGCCGACTTGTAACTTGTTCGCCATCAAATGTCTTGCAAACTTTACGGAGTGAGAAAAATGGAAATCTTTGGTACCTTTCAATGTATATTCTTTATGTACCAAAAGGCCCCATCCCTGATCGAGACTCAGATGGGTGCAGAAACACCTCTGCGTGGATCTTCGCACGCATGTGTATCAACTCCGAGCGGAACAAAAGAGGGCGTTTTTGTATTCACAAACATTGATCTCCACTGTAGACTGGATAGGACATCGCATCCAAAACGAGTCCCGCGTATGCGTATTTTCAAGAGGGTAAATAACAAGCGTTGCGAATTTCGTTGCATGTACTTTCAAATGGAGTTTTTCAAAAACTGGTTGAGGTTTTTGTGCTCCAATCGTCAGATTTCGAAGAAAAACTGAATTCTGCACCTGAAATGGATAAATTTGGAAAGATTAATGGTTGAGGTGTACGCAGCACTGAATTACCGGAGATCAACGTCAAGTTTGGAAGACGGAACAGCAGGAAATGTGAGTCACACTTTTTTAGTTTCAGAAAGTTTCTCAAGTTGTACTTTATAATGCTTAACTTTAAACCTGTATCAATGGGCCAATTAAGAAATTTATGACAGTCTATCTAGCCTATCTCGAAGTTGGGAGCGTCTGAAATGCTACTTATTGGCAAAAGTAGTTTCAAAAACTGAACGACTAATTTGTCGTTTATTTTCCCCAGATTTCACCGGAAAAATCTCCAAGACAGCCATGATTTGTGTTTGTCGGATCTAAAGACGCACGAAACCCAATTTCTGTAACAGACGATGTGATATGAGTGACAGAATTCTGCTGACGTTTCTGTTGAATGAAGTTACAAACAGCGGAATTCAAAGTCAACACAATGAAAGAAACCTTGTCTACATAACAAAATTATTCGTTCTCAGTTAAAACTGACTTTTTTATGCTGAAAAGTAGTTATTAAATGTAAATCTTCAAGTCAGGTTGTGAACTCAACTTTTTAAGCTAAATTAATAAGTGTCTGTTTTAAAAACGGCAGTAAGTTTGGTTGTTCATTTAAAGCTGTGCTCACTTTGTGCTGACAGAAAAGATTCTCACACTTCCATATGCCGCATGTCGGTTTTCAGTAAAATTTCCCCCATGAATTTTATTTAGTACAATTTTCCTGAAAGTGTGTAAAATGTTGGCCCATTGAAACCAGACAGAAAAACACGTAGACAGTTTGGACATCATATTTACTGACAAAACCTATTTCATGTCCTGGTGAAATTCTCAAAGTTTTACACACTGAATAAATCACGATTGAACCGACCTCAAATGAAAATATTGCTAAAGCGAGACCGTAGACAATATGTGTAAAAAATTAATTAAAACAAACACACACAAAAATAAGTTTACATTATTGCTTACGAGTGGGTTAAATGATAAGAAAATGGTCAATTATTTCCGGAAATTATATTCTGGCATTTTCTGTGTATTTTTGGCTTTTTTCGGGAGGGAGGCTGAGGGCTTAGCCATCATCCCATGAGAAAAAGGTATGTTGACCAGAAATGCAAAGCACACAGCATCACATTACCCTTCTGAAGCGCCGCCATGTTCGGCCGCGCATTTAGTGATAAATAATAATGCGCGATGTCCTATCCAGTTTATAATTATAATGGAGATCAATGCTCACAACTCAGGCGCACCATAAGGCGCGCAAGTAAATACGCGT